TACTCCTCTGACAAAATGGACTAACCACCCCATGCAGTACCTTTCTGAGTTGGTACGAATTAATGAGCTGCTGATGTCCAAAACCTGTCAGATTCTATCTTCTGATTGGCTGAAATCTGGTCATTAAAGAGAGGTAATTAATGCCAGATTGCATAGACAATGCTAACAAACAAACAAAACAACCCCAAACCTGTTTTTCTCCTGCCACAAACAGCGAAACAAACAACACTGACATAACGGCAGCTTTCAAAGGCCAGTTGCAGCTCTGCAGCAGCACCTCAGTTAATGAGTGTATAGAAAAGGATCCATCTGAAGAAGAAGAAAGTGAAACTCAACAGCCTTTCAGGCACATGAAACTAGCTTGGAGAAAACTCTGAGACGGTGGCAGCTACTTAAGAAGAAAATTCAGCTGAAAATTGATGTACAAAGAAAGAGTTCAGTTCAAAATTTCAGTAATATGTTTCCCCCTTGTCATTTACTGCTCAGATTTTGAAAAGTGTTAAAAACTGGAATGTAAATTTCTCTGACTGATCATTATAGAGTGATCATGACCATAAATTGTTGCTTAAGTTTTCTGTCAGTCCCTGTAACTTCAGTCATGATGAGGTAATACAACTTATTTTAAATGTCATGGATCTACTTAGAATTTAACAGTCTGTAAAATTTCTGTCAGCATTTTCAATGTCAGCAAATATCTCAAAATACAATGTTGAAAAAATAGCAGCAGCAGTGATAATAATATTATTAGCATAAGTAACAATTTCCACTGACCAAGTACAGCCCCTTTCTTTTTCTGTTTTTAAAATCAGTGGCTTATGATAAGCACTGTCTCCATTGAATAAAACTCCTAACAAGCTTGTTTGACAGTGTAATTCACTATGTTAAAATATCTGAAAGCAAACATATTTGACAAAATACTAAGAATACAGTACACTTTCAGACAAAGAATGGTTGTCAGGCATTTAGTATGTAATGTGAAATGGAAATATTCTATGTCGTACTTTAGATTTGTAATAAGTCATTGTGATAAGGTTAACGCTTCAACACAGAACAACATAGAAATAAGCACACCCAAAGATGAAAATTACTTTGCTTATGTTGCTGTATTAGAATTTTATTTGCTAAAGGGTGAAAACAGATTTGCAAAATTCACAGTTAACTTAAAACAATAGTTTTAAACCTTTTATTCCTAGCCCTGGCTGCCTTCAGGAAGGAAAGAACATCTGGTTATTTAAGGAACACAATATGTTCACATTTTCTATGACTTTTGTTTCTAATTGGGTTTTTTAATTTTTTTTTATTTGAACAACTTTAGTTAGAACTATGTTTTTTAATCACTTTATATTTTTTCACTGCCCTATCTCTGTATATCTACTTCTTAATTTTGCAGATTTTGCTTTGAAAATTTACGGTACTCAACAGTTTACATATGTGAAAAAAAATTGAAAATATATCGTGGAATATTAAATACAGAGATACACACCTTCAGAAAAACCTAGCTTTATTTTCTCATTTCACATAAGCATACTTACAAAATCCCATTCTTCCATGAGAAGCTCTACTTTAAGATTTGAAAGGACTGTAATTTCACATAACTAACTTTTATATAAATAATTGAGGTAATGACCTGTTCAAAGAGCAGAGATGTGAAACAAACACTCTGCTAAACAGGTTAAAAATATCGCCCTATCTGAAGACAACAATGCTGATTTGACATTTTCCTTAATTCAGATTAAATTCAACTGCACTCTGACCCATACTCAAAGCTATAAAATCAGTATCTTTCAGCCCACCTATCAGAGACAGGCATATTTACTTGGTTCCAGCTATTATAGAACTCTGTATTTCCCTTCAATAGCACTGGAATATATTGGGGATGCAGAACTGGAAATGTCTTCCTAGCCCAACTGCCCACCAGGGTCCACTAAGTCAAGGGCAGAGCTGCAGCCAAGAGCTGCTGTAAGGGCAAGTACAAGACTTTTCATACTACTGTTATTTACTGGATTATGCTAAGATTTCTGATGAAGTTTGATTCCACAGAAGGTCAGGAAATGTTATCTGTTCATGTGTAAGAAAAAAGATAGCCTCATTTTCTTTTGATAATTAGGTTTTCTCCTAGTGAGGTCTGCAGTGCAATCCAGCAAACAAAAAATGCTGGGTCCATCAAGCCACAGTTTACCTTTCCTGATAATCTACAAGGCAAATAAGTAAGGTGAAGTTATCTATTATGACAGATGAGGAAAACAAAAGCAGAAATAATGGACGGTATCAGAGGAGCAATCTCTGATTATCTCCAGAATCAGAAGCTATGGACAGGAAGGCCATATGAAGTAGTCCACATGAACTACTTCACAACCTATGAGAGAATTAGTTTTCAAAAACCTCTCAGTTTTATGTTCGTGCCATCACCCAAAGAAAACATTTACTAACAAACCTTTAAAAGGCTGTTTGCTGTTTACACCTATCCATGATTTCTCTACTGCATTTCCTGCCTAGCTGCGAATCAAAGCTCCAAGGTGCAGAGAGCAAACTTGCCTCAGATATTTGGAATGACACTTAACATACTTGCTATGTTCAACAAATAATGAAATAAGCCACTGGACTATGCAACAATATCCCACTTCACATATTAAAAACCAAGCAAAATCCTGGAAGAAATACAATGTAGAACAATTCAGCTCTGGCTCAAAAGATGGAAATTGCACCAAACTAAATGTAATTTCCCATTAGAAGCTAGAAGTTGTTGATGGAGAAATGCACAGGAAAACATCAAAGGAGGAAGAAAAATCATTAAGCAATGAATTTGCTAATCGTCACTTACAAGTTACACTACTGACTAAAATCTCCTTGTCTTTTTTTCCAATCTACTTTTATCTGCTCAGGGAATAAAGGCAAACTGAATTATCTTTATGCGGAAAACAAAAAAAAAAAAGGTATTCTAATTTTCCCACTTACACTGGTACATAATCTGCGTACTGATTTTTAACTCCTGCAGTACCCACGATGTCTTGTTGAGTCTTCCCTTTCATTCCCTCTAATGAAAAATTTTGACAGACTGGGAAAATGTCTTTAAGTAGTTCTTGGACCACACAGAGTAACAAGCCACAGTAGACAGACTCCCATTTCAGAAATATGTTGGGTTGAACCAGCATATGCTTAGAGACACATAAGTGAAACTTTAAATTACATCTTCAGAAAGATTAAAAAAAAAAAAACAGGTACTTGTTACTGCATTGGAAATATACTTCCTTCTCTGACCAGGAGGAAATTTTTCATTTAGAGAAATCCTTTTGAATAGAAAACCTTCCTTCCTTTTTAAAGGAAGTCCAAGCTTGTTAATATAGTCTCAACCCCAAAACCCAATGTAAAATGAGAAGCAGCTTTGGGCTCTCTATTCTGTGGAAATCTTAGCTTTCTCATCTTTAGAGTATTTCCTAAACAGCTAAGTAGAGCTCAGAAAGGAGGAACATTTGCACAAAAGAGTGTTAAGGGCTTATTCACCTGACTGCAGGGAGAACTATCTGAAAGACACAATAAGGTCCTACACCCATCATTTCTCTGAAAGCGCACCTGAGAATGTGAATTATGAGGGCATCAAGGCCTTATGAGCCTGACAACTTCACTCTGCTTCAGACAGGAGAGTGAGAAGCAGAACAGTGATCAAACTTCTTTCATAGGATACTGGTGGTTTACTCTGGTCCATTTTGCTGGTTGTATAGTTTGTATACTGCCTAGGATGCGTTGGAAGACAGTTGAATAATTAGTAATTTTTCTTTGTTTTAACATATTCCTTTGTTAAACAACAGATTACATATGGATTGAGCAGAATATCTCACCACAATTTCCCTCCCTCTATGTCTTTCCTCTAAAAAATAGTTCTATCTTGTTTTGCTCACAGAGTACTTAAATAAATGCTGGCAGTTTGATTTCACAGACTGCTGCCTAAATCTTAAGAAAAATTATTGAGATCTAACATTAAAAACTTTCTTACACACTTAAAAGATGATATACTTCTCATCATGAAAGAAATCTTTGTGCCCGAGAGGAACGAAGAAAACAGCTGTAAAGAAAGCAGCTGTAAAGAAAGCTGATTTCTGCAAAAAACTGATACAGAAACAAAGAGACAATTTTTTTCTTAATCCACAAAAGTGTAAACACTGGTATTGAATGAAATTTTGCAGAAAACAGTCAGAGTGCAGAAGTGCTGATTTTTTCACTTTCAAAGGTGACTTGAATCAGGAGATGAGGCGAATCAAACTTTACTCTGGCAGCTTACTAATGGGACGTGCTCAAAGACAGTTCAAAACCAGTAGCACAAATTCTGCTGTCTGCCAAAAATCTGAATATTGAAAAGAATATCAAATGCAGTTTTGCCTCAAACACTTTATCTACTATATTGTGGATACTGAACATGTATAATAACCATATGTATATGCATGCCCTTCTAAATCAGCAAGTAATCGATGAATTTTGTAAAATAGTTGAATGTACCACAAACTTTGAATTTATAAATTTCTATTTTTTATTTCTGTGAAGCTTTTCAGGTTGTTAACAATACATACTCATTTTTAATTGAAAGTCATCATGTAACATATTATATATTGTACGTGGGCAGTGTTTTAAGGATTAACAGTGATTTATCTGTAGACATCTAGAAAAAGTTTTTAGTTACTAAGGTTAATATATAAAATACTAGTTTCCCTCAAAAGTGTACTTTGTGATAAAATATGTCTGTGCAGAATACCAAGCAAAGGAGCATAAACATCTGCACTTACCTGAGCTCCTGTAGAAGTTTAGTGCATTAATAGGACAGAATTCTTTTAAGAGAAAAGAAACTTAATTTCATTCTTGTTTATCAGCCCCTTTCTTCAGCTTGTCAAGGAAAAGGGAACTTGAAACTATAGTCTAGCCATCAAAATGCAAGTTGTTTTAATGTCATAGCATTCAGAACATTCTATTATAGATATTCATTTCCCATGTTTACAGATCCAGCCTCTCACCTTTGGATCTCGAAGGAAAAGTGCTCTTAGGATAAGGGAGTGAACGTCTCCAATGGGAGGGTAATGCATCAGAAGTCCCAAACAGGTCTGATAATTACTTGATATCACTACAATGAAAGTGAAAAAAGCAAAATATTACTATGTAATTTCCTGTAAGTTCATGACAGTTCAAACGTAGCTGCCTTTTCCCAAATGAAGACTCTCAGAATTCAAGCAGACTAAAAGACGATACTGTTACCAAGCCCTTTGACTACGCTTGATCCAATATCATTAGGGTAAAAAATTGCATTATCATTAAATCTACCATTGTCTGTATTTCATAGACCTTTATATTAGGATTTACTTCCAGATTTAGGTGCCTAAATTTAGACACTTCTATGTAAGGTGTGCACGGAAACTCAGCCAGAGCCAGTGGAGGTGGGGGAAATCCTGTCAGTGGAGGTACAAAACCCAAAGTGGACACTGGCTTTTCAACCACTCACTTGCGGATGTCATATCCAAAGGTGTTAATATGTGAGGTAAACTTCACTTCCAGTCCTGCTTATATGATAACTTTTCCCCATTCTGACAATTCTTTGCTGGAATATCTTTTATCGGATTCTTATGCACATAGACAGATATATGCACTCACATGTAATCGCACATTCATATGCAAATATAAACTGAGGTAAACAACTCCCTGTTTTCTAGTAAATCAAAAAACTTTTTATGGAATATTAAGTACAAAGGGAAAAGGTTAGATTTGCATTTCAGAAATACTTAGAATGAAAATACACTGTTAACTTTAAGTAGAATTTTTTACTTATTTGGAAATTTTTAGGAAGTGGATTTTATAAGAACCTAAGTATATTCTATACGGTTCTTTGCTTGTCACTGTCATCTTCTGTTTCTTTCTTTCTTTTTTTTTTTTTTCCAAATCAATCTCATTATGAGTGCAATTATTAAAGACATCTTTTCAGGCAGGTCTGTGTAAACTACTTCATTTCTTTTGCACCATCTAAATCCAGGCAATCCATCTGCCACAGCTGTCAAAGCAATGCCTGTTACTGGTGCTTGCACTGTGCGATATAAAGACAGACTCAAACGCTAATAATTATAATGAAATTTTTAACAAACTACTATTCTGAGAACTACTATTTTGTAACACGAAATACTTCTAATCAGGCTTCCACACCAGAAAAGATTCTGCAAACATAGACTTATTTTGAATCAATAAAAGGCAAAATAAATGATTGTTCTGTGGACAGAGAGATTTAAATGCTTTACATTTTTTTCTTTCATGTGAATAAGCCTCATATCCTCCTGTACCTTTCCTCCCTCAACAAGAGGATTACGGGGGAAAGATGCAGGACTGGGCAAAATGAATAATTATAATCTGTGTAGGGAACCACTTTATCATCTTCATTTCCGTTGCTGATCCGACAGCTTGTAATTTCATACATCTGCTTTCATTTGTAAAGCACTCACTTATCCTACTCATTCTTTATCTGTTCTGCCTGTTCTTTTCCTATCCTTTGTTTTTCTTGTTCATATTCAGGTACCTGTTTTTTTCTTCTTGAAGTCACAGAGCTGGCATAATGAACACAATACAATGGTCTCAGTCAGAGATCTTTCAGAGGAGCATAATACCAGCAACACATATTACACAACCAATCCAATTCTCCCATGTAAATCAAATTTCAGATACTGTACTACAGTTATGATTATACCTTTTTACCAAAGCAAATAAAAATACTGACAATGGATAGCAAATTATGCGTACTTTTATAAATGATAGGTATTAAATCCAACACATTTCTGTTTTGAGCATGTCAGTACGTGTTCTATTTTGCAATGGAAAATTGATTAAAATTATTCTTCCTTTATTTGTCCTGGAAGAGTTATTTGCTGTCTCACTGATACAGAGAAAATTAAATATTAAAAAATCTGATTTCTTTTAATGGCACAGACTTGAACCCTGACAAAAACTGATATTTTCAAACAGAAGGCACCTACTCTATTAATTTTTTGAAATGTAGAATAGAGAAACAATTGAAATTAAAAAAAAAACAAAACTTTTATGTCATGAACTTATTCCCCATTGCTCCCTAAAAGTTCAGTTTTAAAATGAATCCTTGCCACCACTGATATGTTTAAAAAACTGAGACTTTAATGCTAACTTCTATTTTATTGTTAGGGATTTTCTCATACATTCAGCTCTCCCTTTTTCATGTAGGAATTGTTACAGAAGAGAACATCATTGCTAGTGCTCTATTTGCTGGATAATATTGGGTTAAAGGGATTGCTTTGCTGAAACACCTATTGGTATTCTTCTTCATTTCAAGAGTGAACTATCTTTGGCTTTTAAGGACAAAATGTTTGATATTATCAAAGAAAGTGGCAATGTTCTTAAAAATGATGCAGAAAATAGCAGATAAAAAATCCAACCCTCTCCTTTTCTGTAAATGAAGAGTTAAAAGGATGTCTGAGAATCAAACCCAGGACAAAGTTTCTGGAGGAAGACTATACAATACCAATTTCTCCTGTCTCAGCAGTAGCTGGATGGTGCTACTGAACACGGTGAAAGACCATCTACTGCTTTGTCATATAGGCTTGATGCTTGCCATTCTGTGCTTGTCCTTCACTCATCACCTTTGCAAGAGTCACATCTGGATTCAACTCATACTGTGAAAACCAGTTATCACTTTGCCAGAGAAGAATGTGATTGGTATTTCTAGGGAAAGCAGCAGAGAAACTCCTGTGATAGAGAAAACAACCTTATTGCCTTTTGATTAATATTTGCTATGCAGTGCCCAGAGGAACATTAAGTTGCTTTCTCTTCTGCTTTATACAAGACTGACTTTTCTCTATTGGTCCAATAACAATTATTGGATGCAAGCACCAGTCAAAAAAGTGGAAAACTAACTGTACTTGTCCTCAATCAAGCCCTAATTTCCTGCCACCTGTCATTTGTTCAGAGTTTCACGTCTGATGCTGCCAATCCTGTATGAAGATGACTTCCTAACCCAGGAATGGTGTGACTACTTTCCCCTGCTGCTTCACGCATTGCTATGTTCTATTTAGTAGCCCTAAATTGAGTTAAACATAGATTATGCGAACATCTTGCACTATAACAAAAATAACAAATCAACTCCTCTAAGAAGAGGCTATGGTTCCTTTATTTCTCTTAAAATATTCAGGGTGCTTTTAGGTAAGAAAAAGTACATGCTAATAACGCTCATAACTAGTCTTTCTTATCAAGTGGGAACTTGATAACAAGTATACTTATTCAAACACTCATCAGTCAAAATTAGATCTCTGTGTAATAATAGCAAATAATACACAAAACTAGACAGGCCCTCCAGGTGTGTTCATTTTTATCCTTCTTGAAGGGAAGGTAAGTATATAAAATACATACACGTTCTTTGCACTGAGCCCTCCCTTCCTTCTGATTTCATGAACAACTGCTCATGTTCAGTTCATAACAGTGAAAAATTAATAACACACTCATGGTTTAGATTTGACAGATTTTTAAACAAAAGTTTTTTTTTTTTTTTCCCCCCATGACTTTTTCTTCCAAAGCATTCCAGAAAATAATTTATTAAAACCCACCAGTAGTTTGGTACATGACTGTACACTCGGTTTGTGAGGATTACCACTGCAAGAATGAAGCTCTGCATGGATACAGATGTTAAACTGAACAGAGCTGTTTACAGGATGGCTGTATACATCACTACATATCGGCAGTCTTTAAAACAATCAAGTCATTTCAACTATGTTTTGTGTATGCACAGTAATTGAGCAATCAAAATGTTACACTCTCATTAAATAATACATAACTTGTGTAACAGAATTTTAAAATATAATAATAATAAAAAGAAATATATAGCAGATAAACTACTTTCTTAAAACCACATCCGTGTCAATACAATAAGAAAACCAAAAAAGATCCAGCAATCCCTAAACCAGCTACTCCTTCCCCAGACCCGAATGTGCTGGTATAAAAGCATCTGCATCACTTTAAAACTCTCAAATGCTTTCAGTAATTTATTATTATTATTATTATTGCTTATGTTTGATATTTTTTGTAACATAATTTCTTAAGATTTACATTGTTATTTTCATTGTTTCAATATTTTTAAATTGAAAGTTTCCAGATGGTTTATTTATAGAAGACCAATATAATGGTGGATTTTGAGCTAACATTTCCTTTCAGCAAATGAAGTTTTTAGAAACTTATTTGAAAATGTTTTTAAAAATGTTACAACAGAACTTTGAACTCCACTTCAGCTCAAATATTAATATAAATAAGAGGGGAAACAGAAACAAAAATCTTTTACAGATAGGTAAGGAAAGTTGACTTTTATAAAATCAAGAAATCTCTGAGTTTGAAATTAACAATATATTCAACTTCACAACACTTCTGATGGGGTATTTTGTTTCCCCATCCTATTAAGCTTAGAATAACTGATTAAATCCAACTATGGAAAGAAACATACTTAATATTAGCTGTCCTGATGAGATATCTTTGCCTACCATCCAAACAAATGGACTCAAAGTTAAAGCCATTTACTGCTTTATTTATTAAAGCTGGGATTTCAGAGAAAAGAGGGAGACTGATTTCATACCGATGCTGTAATACATTTTTAGCTTTTTTAGTTACCTCATACCGATACCTGTGTGTCAGCACGACAAAGCAAAACAAAACAACTACAAAACAATCTTCTCTCCCCTAGGAGAGACAGAGTGCTTACAAATATATTTCTAAAGTGTTTTTAAAGAGAAATGATGGCACAAAATAAAATGCTGATGTGAAGAAGTATTTTTACATGTATCTGCAACATATAACTATACCAAAATTTTAAGGATTATTTCAGTTTACAGCATAAACCAGACTGAAATTTCAGACCATAATGATTTGGAATTAGATAATCCTGAAACAGAACTATTTGTTTTGAAATCTCTTTGCTGAATTAAACATCCACTTCTTTTAGAGGAATGTAAGGCTGCTCTATATGCTAAATGTTTATTAAAAAGCAGCAAAAAAAACGCATATGAAGTTCTATGGCAGGCAATGAAATGACAGTATGTGTAAAGTAAATGCATGTTATATTTTCAAGATTGGACCCTAAAATAGGAACCACAGAAGCTGAAAACTTTATGTGTCCTAGAATACAAAATTGTGTCAAATATGTGACCTTGTTAGAAGCTAAAATTTACAGATTGTATATAATTAACACTGAACAGCATGCTAAAGAATTCATATATTTAATGACAGACATGCATCTGACTGCAAAACACATACTTTGCTGCAGCAAACTCATACATAGAATTTTCTGCAAAATATGATGAGGCACAAGTAAAAATCTTTTAAATAATATATCTTCTTCCTCCCATTCACAGTTACATACACTAGTGACATTTTTGGGATTTTCCTTTAACCCAACTTTGTGTATTTTTTGCTCATCAGCAGCCTCTAAGAACTCACCTTAGCACATAATTTCATGTATAATGAGATAGAATAAAATGAAATAATCACTTTTTGAAGACACCACTCTTGCATAAAATACAAGCATTTTGTATTTGTTACTCATCTTTGAACGCAGATTTCCTTCAAGATATAATTTGGAAAATTATGAGTCATTGTCTTACGCATTTTCACAGAACAGCAAAAGATGCATCTCCAGCATCAGAGGCTTTACTCAATTCATCAGCTTTGTCAGAAGGTGGAGCTCTATACATACCTGAGTCACTTCCCGCATATACAGTCTGCAACTCCATAGAAAAACACAGAACTACTCAGAAAGCAAACCTGCATTTAACTTTCAGACACAATTTGTTTCGTAAATACAGCAGACTGCATCTGAAAACAAATGGCTCCTCTCATGGCATCTAAAAGGATTTTCAGTTTGTTAAAAAAATCACAATGAAATTTAGCATTTCTTGAGCCCTCTTTTACTGTGAAAAATAAGTTGGCATTCTTAAAAGATCGTGAGAAAAGCGATACTCACAGGCATCTCTAATATATAACAACATGGCTACAAAAATGTAGTCAACTAAATTCAAGGTGATACTGTCAGCAAATAGAGCGTCCCAGACAACAAGAAGGTCCTGAAGTGGGAATTCACGTCCAAAGAGGAGCCTTACCCACCTCCTGAAAAAAAGAAAAGATGTGAGTTGCACCTTTGCATTTTGACAAATATTGGCAAGGCAGTATATATACCACAGGATCAACTACAATATAAAGTGTTTTACATGCTAATTTTGCAAATTTGGAAGGTCTATGAGAATTACTTACTTAATTGTCTTTTTGGAAATGTTATTGTATTTACATTAACAGAAGCAATACGGTACTGACTGTAGTGGATTACTGATTACTATTACATAGGTCAACCTTAAAAGAAATATCACACCAATACTACATACTGTATTTTTGAGCAATTGATGTGATACCCACTGAAGATGAAAGTGAGATTATGCTATGAAAGAATGGCCTGGAACAGGGAAGCTGGGTGAAGCCAGTGGTTTCAAAAAGCCCTGAAAAGCTCCGGCAAGTGAGAGCCAGTTGAAGGCAGATGACAAACAACAGTGAAAATGGATCAGGCCACATTTGCTCTGAAGAGCCTTCCTCCCTGTTTTTGCAAGCAGTGTTTGCAGATCCATGAAAAATATGCTACAGATTCTTTTTTGACTAAACATCATTTAAATCTTTACCAGATTTAGTAATAATCTGCAAGTAGACCGCAGCATCAACTCCTGATCATACCTCTGCTGTTTTCATACATAGAAAAAAAGCGAAAATCTGTCTTATTAAGGCAACATTTGCTTGAGACTAGAAGATTGAGATGCAGAAGAAAATTTCTCAAGCTTTCTCATACGCAGTTCTGGCCATTACACTGACCTACTTGCTGACCTCAAGACAGGCACTTCCCTTTCCTATTCCAAAACAGAACCATTACTTTGGTATCTTTTTAGCTAGCAAGACTTATCTAAGGTTGCAATTGTAAAAGCTGAGAAGGAGTTAGTACATCAATCCTAGAATAATTATTACAAAATGGACTTAAAAATAATGAATTACGTTCATAGCTGGGATATGCAAATTACTACTCATGCAGAATCTGTTTACTCTGTGACAAGAAAAGACTGATTGTGAATTTCTCCTAAGCAAATTGAGTCATTCTATAAAATTCACAAAACTTTCTAGAAAGGCAACTGGAAATTTCATGAAGATTAGTTTCACTTGTAAGGATTTGTGTTTAACCACTTTTGTACCAGAACTTGTTGTTTTAAAGCATCTGTGGTTTTATTTATTTATTTATTTATTTTGATTCTGGTAATACAAGTTCACTGCTGCATAAATGGATTTCAACATGTCAGGTGAGTGACAATCTGCACTCTCTTTCAACGGAAATTGAAAGCTACTGTTTTGTTAATTGAAGTTTTGTTCATTCAAACTATTGTATACTCTGCCACAGGAACTATATATATAACCCATAAAAATGTCCATGTTACAGATATAGAGATCACTGCACAGAGTATTATTCCCAGCAAGAATGTTCCCTTTTAAAATTGAAAATAAGCAATTTCAAAAAACAGTCTTATTCTTATTATCTTTACATCAAACATTTATGTTCTAAGGTCTTGTAACTTCTTTTAGCATAGTAATTATAATAGCCACAATATTAGCTACAACAAAACCAAAGCCCTGGTATTTGCTTCTCTGATCAAACCCTTTCCCTGGAAGGACATATTTTCAGGCTGCAGAATGCAAAGTCAGAAAACCAGCTAACAAAATGCAGGTCTTATCTATTACAGGGGCTGCTCTGAAAGTAATGCATCTTATTTAATCACATTGGCCCACAACACCAGAGGAGCAGCATGGCAGAAGAAGTTGAATCTTCCCACCAATATTCCCTTGCGTTTTGTTGCTGTGCAACAGATGGCAGCAGAGGGGCAGTGTGACAGAACAGTGTCTGACATGGAAGAGTGTGAATGAAGCAAAGGTGTGGAACTGAGTGCCTCCATGCAGAAAAAATGGCACCCGTTGACATTCACTGATGCTTGCTTAATGTTTATGGAGATCAAACAGAGGATGTGAGCACAGTGAAGCACTGGGTTGTGTTTCAGCAGAAGCAACAGCGGGTCACCGCTGCTGGTGCAAATTTTTGTAAGCATGGCAAGCAGCCTCTTATTTGTTGCTGATGAAAATGTACAGATAATGGTGGCGACTGTGTCTTTTGTAGCTGAGAATTAGTTCTATCAAATAGTGCTATTGTACTCTTTGTGTCTGCTGTATTTTCCATGGGAATAAATAAAGGCATTACTTTTGGAGTGACCTGTGTACATTTAATACCATGTCAGCTCTAGCTAGGGGACTTTACCATATAGCAGCATGTTAACCTACAGTGTCTAGCCCACAGGAGACTATTACCATATAGTGACACAAACATTACCCAAACTCTGCGTGAAGCCTATTGCTTGCATTAACAACCCCTCCCACCTGTAAAACCACAACTTTAATGTTAAACAAACTGTTAGGAACAGAATTAGAGCTAAGCTCGAAGCATTCTAGCTGACTTTGCCTGCAACTACCCAGATCTCATGCAGAAGCTTTGCTAACCATCTAATACACTTCAAGGGAAAAAATACACCACGGTGTAATGGGATTTGTTATTAGTCTTTTATTAGAAATCTCTTTTGGTTCTTTACTACTTCATTATGCAGTGTTAATCGTTTGTAGATGCAGGTTTATTCTGCTCGAGCAGAAGCCATTCTTTTTTTTCTCCTGCTTTTACACTTTCTCCTGGGAAAATTAATTCTCAGTCCCCAGAGGTATCATGTTTCACAGATGTAGGCTGCCGAAGAACAACTGGACTTCCTTTTGCTACCATAATATTATCGTTAATTATTTGAATGCTCCTGTCCTAAAGGGAGTATGCAACTCATACTGTTCTAAATGCATATATACTAATTGCTCTCTCATTTTCTTTAGCAGTGTTTAGCTCTTAGCATCAATAAACCAAGGACTGTATTGCTTATGAACCATGCTGTCACAGGACTTCAGTCAGCTTTTACATTCCAAAAAAAGGTTCTTAATTCCTTAAAGTCAGTGTCCGTACTGAAAAGCTGTCTTTCAAATGAACACATTTCTATTGCTTTTACAAATATTTGCTGAGAATTTCAGAAACACTTAATTATTGCATTGGACACGAAAAGCTTTTTTTTCTGAGATGGCTGTCTGTGGTTTAATTATTGTTCTGTCCTGTTAATCTTGCCTTACATCTGTTACACCTGCAGACTGTGAGGCTCACAATAGTATATCTTTTATCACGTGCTATCATACAATAATTCATATTTTACCAGGCACCCATAGCCATTAAAATCTGCAAAAGCACAGATTCTTTAAAGCCATAATATACCAAGGTACTACCACCTACACTGCAGCATATGTAACTGTATCTTCTACTTTTAATTTCTATATAATTAAAACAATATTCTCAAGACATCAGTAATTGCTGGCAATAGATAATGATTCATTAATGGCCTTACATACAGAGAAAGCAGGAGAAAACTGTGCTCTATAAAGCCATTAAATAAGGCAATGATCCAGCTTTACCAGTTTTAACTAAAATCACAACCATACTGATTGGGACTTATCAGACTATTCTCCAAGCATTGATGAAATTAACTTATTTTAACTACAGACAACTTTACTGTTGCATATAAGTAGCTGGTTACCTTCTCTGTCTTTTTGGAGAGAATTTAAAAAAATAAGTAAGAAATGGTTCCACATAAAGCGTTGCAGAGAGCTTAGTAGTGTTTATAAGGACAAAACAGCACCAGGAAATCAGCAGGAGTCTGATAAACCACCGTGCCAGGAGAGGCCAGGCATGGCCTGGGACATGGAGCACACACTGCAGCTGCTCCGCGTCCATTCTGCAGATACTTGTGAATGATTCTGTGCAGAAACCACAATTTAGTTGCCTAAAAACTTCTACTGTAAGAGTCTGTTTTCAGCCACATATGCTTTTGTTAAATTTAATATTCAGCACAATTCCCAACCCAAGCCTCTACTCATGTCTTGATTTTTTTAATTCATTAATACTTTTTATTAGAACAAGGTAAAAAAAATAATTCTGCCCTTGCCATTTTTTTTTTCCCCAAACAGTTTGTTAAGATCTGAAGTGAAAGTAATAAGGTCTCTGGTATTTCCTTTTGCTGTGCATACTAAGAAAAAAATAAAAATGCCTACATTTGATGATTCCTTGGTTGATCCAAGCTCAGTAGAATGCAGGTTTCCACAAGCATGTTCTCTTCCTAACCCACACTACTGCCATCCCTGTGCAGAATTCACCTTCTCCCTCTCCTCACCCCAGTGCCCTGTGTAGGAAATGGCACTGGTGTGTGCTGTCCCCTGCAGCGCCATCCCCTGCCATGGCTGGCGCCACTCAGTGCTGCGCTGGAGGAGGATGCTGCAACCTGGTTTCCATTGCCTGCAGGGCTCACTAGGGGAAGTCCTCCGGAGAAGGAGAGGGGCGGTAGGATTTTGCAGGAAGTCTTCATTTTCAGTACAAGTTTTGCTGCTTTCTTTAAATAAGAAAATGAATTCAATGGATCAAGTATTAAAAAGAACGCCATCTTATCAAAACTAAGCACCCAAAAGCTGAGAAATGCCAAAATTAACATCAGTTGTTTACTGACTGAGAAAATTACATGTAGGCTCTGTCTCTTTAAGCTCTGCCATGAATTATGTTCAAGCAAACGTTTGTAGCCATTGCAATTTACTATGTAAAGTCACGGTCAATAATTTAGGAGGAAGGGTAGCAGCACAAACTTCGGCTGTGATCTGCTTTTATAAAAATAAGATACGGAAAAAGGACGAGGAGCAACAACATTCCAAAGAATTTATAGCTCTATGGTGAATCAAGAATTTAACATTTCAGTGACAAGCAGCGAGTACCACTCTGGGCAGAGCCACTGCCTGCACTCTGTGGTCAGATACCTGCATTTCCCACCTGAGGACTCCTGTGTGGGATGCTGGGCAGGCTGTTAGCAGCAGGCTGGCCATCTCGTACCACAGGGCCTCCACTGCTGCAGTGGGGCTGGGAGCTCTTGTATGGATGAGAACAGCAATCATAGCTACAAATGCACAGC